AACAACCACCACAACCTCCTCTTGTTCCTCCACTTGACAAATAGTTGGTAACTCGGTAGGTGGTATGGAGATAAGAGCACTGTGGTTATGCTGCATCAAAAAACGAACAAAAAAAAAAACAACTAAAAGACAAGAGTAAACTAGAAACCTCTGGGCTACCTGACAAAGATTTCAGTATAGGTTACCAGGTCCATCAGTTACAGATGCAGAAAAGACCACTACTTCCATATTTTTTCTTATTTTGGACCCTCAGTTTCCCAATTGGTACCAACATAGACAACACTCTGGTTTTGCAGGAAACCAATCCATTGCTTGAAAAAATAACAATGAACAAGATGCTCTGTAAAGTTAGTGAGCCATGCAATATAGGACACAAATGGCATACAAAACTGAAAAACCTTGTTCTAGTATAGGCAACTAGGGCATACAAAACTCAAGCCCACCCAATGCGCAAGGTTCTTGCTAATGCAGGATCTCATGCGAATTAGTGTATCTAGTCTTACCTCTACAGGCAAAGACATTAATTCTATGATTTGAACCCTATCCATCCAGGTCGCAACAAGCAACCTTCTGATGGTGCCAAGGTTCATCTTAGCATACAAGACAAGCCAATCTGATGAAATGCAAAAACAATTGTAATTTAATTTACTTTTAATCAATAATTCTATTCATATTCCTATATACATTTAAATATTTGTGTAGGCAATTCATATGAAGGACCAATGTGAGCATTGACAAGCATATAAGTGTGTAAGCTTATGATTTTGTGCAAGTATTTTTATGTAGTTGCAAAAAAAGATCTGCTATTGAATATGCATGATAGAAAATTAGAAGTTTAATTTGGTACAGAAACAAAACATGTTGGGATGCATGTCCTCTTGTTATTAGAATATAAGAAGCTGCTTTAGTTCAACAATGTTATTATCCCACCTGGATAGCTACCTGGGCTGAGAATTTTACAAGCCCATCTTCACTTAGTTTTTCAGAGGCACTCTTTCCACGAACAGACTTGGAAACCACTCTAGTAGCCTCGCCCGCTGCTCTATGTCGTGCTGATAATCCTTCGTCAAAATGAATCTACATCCATTGTTAAGATACAAGAACAAAGGAAAAAATTATATAGGCAAAAATGACTTGTAAGGTAGAAACTGAACATACTACTGCAGAACCCACACTAAGTAAACAGAAAACTGAACATATTGATACAAAACCACTTGTAAGGTAGAAACTTTTAACATAACATGCATATTAGACCTTAAATTGACAACTTAAGCAATTCAACATAAAGAGTAATCAAATTTCACATCAATGTCTCAAATCAAACAAACAATCAATTCAATGGAAACAAGATGTTCTTCATCCTCTTTGACTGAATATACTTTCTGAAAGATGACTTATTCACCAAGAGCCGTATGTAACATTAGCATTCTTCACAGAGATGTAAACTAAAAGAAATTGGCATTGTGGCATTGTTCCCAGATTATACTGTTCTCTCCCTATTGTACATGTATTACATATGCATTAGTTCCCAATATGATGAATTAATCACCAAGAGCCAATGAGCTATGCAACATTGGCATGCTGCAAAGAGAAGTAAACTAACAGGAATAAAAATAGGGAAAATACTCCAGTTAAAAGAACTCTCTTTGTCTATTGTACATGTACTATATGTGCATATCATTGAGAAATGGATATCAGGCAGAGTATATGCATATATATTTTCATGCTCCAATTTTTGCTTGCATGAGTATGGGCTAGTCATGTATTTATCATTAGCTATGCGTAGTTCAGCCATACCCAGAGGATTTGCATCTGAGTACTACAGGTGCAAACATCATCGTTCATACGCCACAATGTGATGTTGATAATTAATCTCAATTTGCTGAATCTAATGCTTCGTATGGCTCAGAGTCAATATACTGACGATAGTCATAATTTTACCTCTCAACAGCCAATATAGGTCTTCCCTGACCCTACATGCCCCAAGCCAGGATAGTTACCAACATGGGGAGCAGCTAGGAACCTAACTATACTTAATGATCAACAGGTCACAAATCTTGCTAGTTTGTTTCATGCATGATATATCAGTAACAATTATCATAGAGCAATGTCATGAATGGATTTTAAACCTATACCGAGGATCTAATACCATCTGACGTTGGGACCACGACCTACATCTCACTTCAGCACAGTGGCCATTTTTGGTGATAGTGGCCACTAACTATACATAAGATATATTATTTTGGCTTTTTACTTGACTATTTATTTACAACTATTTGAAAATTTCAATTATATTCCCACTGTAGCACTTTTATAAGTTTTTTTACACATGTTTTCTTGATATATATGTTAAACACATTTTGATTCATCAATTAGTGAAAAAATATAATAAGTAAATTTAATTAGTTTTACTTGGCCCAGTGCAGACAAAACTGAATCAATCCAGCTGCTGACCAATACCAGAACCGGACTGAAATATCAATCCTTGCACTAAATGATCGTTATCTAGCATATCTGACCACACTTCATTATTACTATCCACAACCACTACCAAAAATGTTATGTTCATAACTTTCCATCTTAAGATACTAAAGGTTAGACACCTAATAATAACTAATAGAGCATAGAAGACAATCGAGTTCAAAATGAACTATCTTAATACAAAAAACCAAAGAGGCACCAATATTTCAGTATTTCTTTTCAAATGAATGCACCCTCTTTAAAAGAATAATCAGGATGCAATATGCCAACTGCGAATATATATATATATATATATATATATATATATATATATATA